TCAGCATCGTGACAGAAATTGCCAGAGGATTTTGAAGGATTGAGGCAGTAGGCACACCCCCAAGTACATGTAACATTTTCAAGAAATTTTGGAGGATTGAGGGATAATCCAGTTTTTTTCACCCCCTAAATTGGAGCATTTTGGAGGATTGAGGAGGGTCGTTATCAAAAAGAGCCTAGGGGGTTAGGGTTAACCTGATTCGAAATGTGTTCTGATCACAAGTCATTGATGATTTCCCTCCAGACGGTCTGGAAGCACCAATCTGAGAGATCTGTTTCCTCGGTAACGCAATGTTAACAGTGTAATGCTTCGTGCCATTTCCATGCTGTTGAAACATGCTGCATGAACTGATAATTTTTGTTAAGTACAACAATCAATGATCACAGTTATCCATTCATTACAAACACCAGCATCAACTCAAGAGTTCTTTGCTTTACTGACATGAAAGCTGTGCTGTTTTTTCTGCAAGTTACATGTACAAGTAAGCATAGCACACTAACTAGCATTTTGCAGTACCTAGGATTTGGAGTGTCTGCGTGTTCTGTGCCGATTTGATACTGTAGAATATAACAAGCACACGTTTATTGCATCAATCTGACACGTTCATGATCCAGAGAGGTTTGGACAAAAATCTCATTTCTTGTGTGTTGAAAGAAACACAGCTGGCCTGATGAAAGCTACAGATTGTCTGCAGCAAACTTATTTGCTTGCGCTGAGGTTGCACAAGGATGTATGCGAACACAGCAGCTTTTTGTACTGAGTCATCATTGCTGAATACAGTTCTGCACATGTATATAAATCCTGCTACATGTGATCAGTGCTCAATTTCCTTGAAATAGTTGCGTAGTAAGCACTGCTTTGCAATACTTTGTATAGCATTTCCTCAAGTTTGTAACAGTCTTTTACACAATACAATTGCATGTAGTCACTGAATATCCGTGTAATTGAATACGGTGTCAATTTTCAACAAAATAAACAGTATCGTAATATGTATTTGTGAAAAATGTTGATCAGTATAACATCTATGCTTCTGTTTGACAATTACATTTACCCCTTCCAACTACCCGTTCCTGTCTGCAGTTCTGAGAAATGCTTGAGTTGTGAGAACTACGAAACAATTTCATTTGTGCGCTGTATTTGCTATGTCACTTGCTGCAGCCTGTGCGATGCGATACAAGGGAAACTGAACCCACTGCTTGTAGTCTTCAGTGGACAGTGTCCTGAAGCTGCTTAGCACAGTGCATGTAGCTGGTTCTTTAGAAAAACAAACAAATCAATTACATGGAAACCGGACATTCAGTGTGTTTTGCTTGTCACTTTTTTCCTCTGCCGATTTGTGCGGGCGTGTGTGTGTAGTCTTTCCCAAAGGCCTAATTTGGATTATGTTCCTCAATGCACATTTAGTCCCCCAGCACTATAGGATACAAGCAAGCAGCTGCCAAAGGATGCAACGGTAGAGAACCCCATCAACTAAATGAATCAAATCTTATCTTACAAATCCATCAGGTCCCCCTCCCTTCAAAATTCCAAGCATTCATGTAGAGTATGAATGATAGCGTAGCGTACATGTATGTGCCTTGGGTGATGCTGTATATAGAACCTGTGTGCCCTTTCTTGTGTAAAGAGATTTTTTTCCTGCATCCTGATCCACATGTGTGAGAATTGCTCAGAATATTTTAGGGTGAGCCTGCCAGATTTGTCAAAACTGAATTTAATTTACCTTAATTAAAGAACAGGACCCTCTTTTGCCGATAGAGCAGTTACACCGACTAGGTGTCTGCAACCACGTTAGGAGAATGAGGTACAAAGCAAGGCTCGTCCTAAGGCCATTTTACACCAGAATTTACCCAGCAGTACTTTTTTTGCCCGACACCTCATTGACATTGATCTCTTGGACGGAATAAGAACTGGATGAATGTTTAAATAGACCTTATACACAGGGAAGCCATATTCGGTCTTGCGCCCTGAATCTACCTCTTTCAATACTATCCATTAAATGGAATGGTTCCAGTGTGCAAGACGAAAGTGGGTTCGAACTCTCACTTTTTTTTTTTTTTTACTTCAAAGTGGCTTAAAAAATCTGGATATAATTGAGTCACAAATTGGAAATCAATCATCAGTCTAAAACTAGCACTAAAATGAACAGTCATTACGTTCATTTTTAACTGTTGGGTCTCCCAAATGAAAAGTCAACCTTGCTTTCAATTCAGTATGACCAACTCATAAATAAGGTGTATTCTAGTTGACTCTTCAACAAATTTTCATCGGATCAAAAAATAGAGACCCTTGTTAACGACGCATCAGTACATTTGATCTGTCCAAGTCATGTGCGTATTGCTACCTGTCATTACACACACTGGATTGTCATTGCATTGCCTGATATGTTGTAGATGCACCCAAGGGGGTACAGCAGAGTTAGCCCAGCACTTGTGACCCTACAGTATATGTATAGTACTCTAGTCATGATTCATTGACAGTGGACCGTTCCATTCATCTTTTAGGTACAAATTACAAAACTCTGCCTGTTCTTCCGGTCAATTTTTCTGTGGTGTGCATGCCATACATGATTTCCTTGTTTGTTTCATTTTATTGTGTCAAACAGAAAGGGGAAGTTGTTTTTTTCACCATTGACGTACAGTGTGTGCAGTGGATGCATTTGTATCATGTGCAAAATGCACGCATCAGTTGAGTTGCGAGATATACCGGTACATGTAAAGTTTCTTATGCTAGATTGTAAGTTAATGACTTTACCACATGGGCATGTAATAAATTCGTCATTCTTAGAATAGCATGGACATTGCAGCCATGCAGAATATGTACAGTGGGTTGACTTTTTTAATTACTTGCTTAAAAGATTTACCAGTTTCTAACATGAACCTGCTTATGTAAAACAACACCAAAAGAACCACAGACACAAAGGCCTCACATGTACATGTAGCTTCCACATGTACATGGGTCTTTATTTTAAATAGTGGGCCAAATGTGTGACGTGGTAGTCAAAATTTCAAAAATGTCTAAACAAATTCAAAACTTGTTGATATGTAATTGATAATACATACATACAATAAATTGAAATGATTTTTGCTTTAAATAACTACATGTACTTGACTTGTACAGACTCAATTTGTGCAGTGGTGCAGGAAATTATTTGACAGAGAAAATATTTGTTGCAGAGAAACCAAATATGATGGTTCTATGCATGTCATTTTTGGTTAGTAAACGTTTTTTTTAAACTGTTGCCAATTTGGTTTGAGTACATACCATACATGTATGTTCTCATCACAAGTTGTTTTGTCTAGATAGGGTTTCAGGTGGCATAAAAATGGGCAAACATTTTCCCCAAAATTCACTTTTTGGCTATTTTTAAGATTATTTGACAAAGTTTCGTTTGGTGAAACACAAAGCTGCTTAATTAGCATATTTACACTGGGAACTGCATTAGATATTGGCAACAATGGCAACATTTCATGTCTGCAGTCAATGAATAGTGATCTCAAATAAGTTAGGAATACAAAGATCTCTGAAACCTGTCCACATTTTTGATGAATGGGAATTAATGTGAAGCGATTTTGATGTCATAAAGCATGACAATTGTCACCAAACATTGCACATATTGCAGTGGGTTCAACATTTGTGAATAAAAAAGAAACCTTTTGTGATGAAAAGGAAGAAAAACTAAGCATTGGGGCATGAAAAAGAATTCTCGTTGAAGGAGAATCTTGTATTTAAAGCGCTGTCATGAACGAGGTTGGACTGTCATGGCTGAACGGGTATAAAAACCTGTCACGCACCCACTGGCCTACTTGAAAGTTAAAAACATAACTTCTGTCTTACTGGATAATGAAGAAAATTTCAAAGAATCCAGAGTTGCAGCGATACATGTACTTAGATGTCGGTTCACATTTTTATTCAAGTGGAATTCCTTTGCCATTATTGTGTAAATCTACTTTTTTTAATGTAAATGAATTTAATGTAATAAACACATACTTGTATTAATTGACAAATTACATATGAAAATTAAACAGGAAAGTGAAACTAGTCTTGTTTTAAATGGTCATGATAATTGTGATATCCCTGAAATACACATTGGCCCCCATATTAAAGTAGACCCACTTGTACATGTACATGTCGCTCCCACATGTAAATGTAGCTCCCACATGTAAATGTAGCTCCCACATGTACATGTCGCTCCCACATGTAAATGTAGCTCCCACATGTAAATGTAGCTCCCACATGTAAATGTAGCTCCCACATGTAAATGTAGCTCCCACATGTAAATGTAGCTCCCACATGTAAATGTAGCTCCCACATGTACATGTCGCTCCCACATGTAAATGTAGCTCCCACATGTACATGTACATGTAGCTCCCACATGTACATGTAGCTCCCACATGTACATGTAGCTCGTACATGTACATGTAGCTCCCACATGTACATGTAGCTCCCACATGTACATGTACATGTAGCTCCCACATGTACATGTAGCTCCCACATGTACATGTAGCTCGTACATGTACATGTAGCTCCCACATGTACATGTAGCTCCCACATGTACATGTACATGTAGCTCCCACATGTACATGTAGCTCCCACATGTACATGTACATGTAGCTCCCACATGTACATGTAGCTCCCACATGTACATGTAGCTCCCATATGTAAATGTTGCTGGGCCAAGATTTTATCCAGAGGGATGTCTGGGTTTTATATTGGATACCCTATTTTGTTAAGCAGGTCTATGTATATAAAACAGGATACAAGGCAGGTTGAAGTCAACTGGTTGCAGCCAGGAGTAGCACAGGAGGCAATGGAAACTAGCCAGTCGCTATCAGAGGCTCCTGTTGTCACATATGTTATTGCAAGCTGCAGCTAAAGTAATTTGGCCACAACCAAACATCCTGGATGTAACTGGTTCATCACAGGCTGTGTGCTGTTGTCCTGATTGGTGCTTGCTTGGAGTCAGATAAATCTTCAGTTCGTGTTTTGTTATTGTGTTACAGACATGGTCAAGGCAATTAGCCAGGTGGTGAAGAAGGGCAGCGTACTGACCGGGGAGGAGAGAAACCTGCTCTCGGTGGCCTACAAGAACGTGATTGGTGCGCGGCGGTCGGCCTGGCGGACAATCAGCTCCGAGGAGCAGAAGTTCAAGGATAAGGGCGATGAAAAGAAGGAGAAGCTGGCCAAAGAGTACCGTGTTGAGGTTTGGATGCCACCTTGTAGGGTTGGAAATCAGATAGGTTGCAGGAATATTATTACAAATGTAGTTATTCTACAGTGCAAGTAAAATTCAACGGACGCATGTCACAAGCAAACTTTTGCACCTTGCGCAAGTATGGAAAAACTGCGACTTCGTGTATGTCATCATCGCTTTGTTGGATTTTCTGGATTTGTTAAATAGCAGATCTTTAGAAATAAAGAGTCTACTCCTTTCTTGTCTACTGTTTTCAACTTGTTGGATTTACATCCATGTTTATCTGCATTCAGCATATTGTATGGCACAGACACGAGGTGCTAGTAATGTTCACATTTCTTGAGGGCATATGTTGGAAACTGAACGCTGTGCACCTTGTATAACCTTCCTCCATTTTGCATCAATTGAAGTTTTGATTTATGCAACGAAATGATCACAGCCAGAAGAAAAAACATGTAAAAAGTTTCTTGCAGGCAAGCTTTGTTTTTATTAACATTATGTCCTGCTAGTGCAAGTAATTTTGTTTCAAGCACAAGTTAATTCCACTGTCAAATTGCGCATAATTTTTTGAGGGAATTTCTAGCCCTGGGTTGTTGGCTGTGGTTAATTCTAACTCCAGTGACTTTTGTGGCCAGCGCCTTCCTCAGTCCGCCAAAAGCCTCCATGGTGCCAGGCACCAACCAGGCAATCTTGCAAGGGACATCAAATCCCAGATCAAATAATTGATAGGTTCCTACCTCTCTCAATCCTACAAAAACCCCTCGGTAGATTTTAAAGGATCTGGGAGGGTAAGAGTTAACCCACGATGCGAGCCCCAAAGATTTTACTGAATATTTCGTCTCATATACATGTATAAAGAGCTTATTTGGCTCTTCATTCCATATCTAGCTCAGATTTGTAGTAAGGAACAGTGCTGTTGTGTATATGAAAGCTGTTAATTGTTGTTGATGTCCATTGTGCAAGATACATGACTGATAATTTCTAATGAATTTTCCCAGATTGGGTCATTTACCTTGATTCTCTTCCATAGAACAATATTTGCATTTGATCCTAGTTTCTAGCTGTTTTCAACCCATCAGAGAAGACAGAAGAAGTTATCAAGCTGTTCATGTTTTTGTGTGTGTGCGTGTGTGTGTGCTTTTGTTGTTTGTTCTTGTATCCGTGGTGGGGGGGTGAATTTTTGGTCATGGTAGACTAAGGTTACCGAGGGTTGGAAGGCTTAAGCACTTCATAGTAATAGTAGATACAGTTGAACCTCGTTAATAAGAGCATTCCTAATATAATACAAGGTTCCTGTTATAACAAGGTAGTTTGCTGAGTCCAAATGACCTCTTATTAACGAGGTTCGACCGTACATTCAAAGCTCGCTTTTTGAATAGAACTAAATTCAGCTCCGTATTTCCATACTAATTTAATTTGCAGATAGAAGCAGAGCTGTCTGAAACTTGTCAAGAGATCCTGACGGTATTAGACGAACACCTCATCAAGAAAGCCAAGGAAAATGAAGCTAAAGTCTTTTACCGTAAAATGTAAGACATTCCTCGGTCTCTCCATGGCCCACGTTTCCCCTGGGGCAGATGTTCTCACATTGTGTCAGGCCGTTATGATCTGTGCACAGAATGTGCAGCCCTCTCTCTCAAGCGGAGAATGCTGGGTGGGTCGCTGGGTAGATGGGAAATGTCTTGGCATAGCTGTCCCTAACAGTCCCAAATCCTCTGATTTCAATATGGTTTTACATACACCCTAGGGGGTTAGGGTTAACTGAAAGGAGGGTGTGAGCAAGAGTGGCTTCAGGTTCATTAAACATCCAGGAATTCAATGGAACGTGTTGGGCCATGGTTCCCTCTCTTATTTTGTTTTCCTGAGCCCAGATATGCCACTGGGTGTGGAACGGCATAATTGGTTGTGCCCACTCATTAATCCAAGGGTCCTGTTGATGTCCTGTATCTGTCACAAAATGTGACCTGTCACCATGAAGCGAGCTGAAAGTTGGAATTTTTGAAAATTGGAACATTGGTATTTTTAACTTCAACAGAAAAAGAGCTTTCCAATGGTGCGTAACACTTACGGTAAAAGGTTGACAATATGACATTATTCCAGTGACTTTGTGTCGTTGTTTCCGACATTGTTTCAGCATTTTCTGACCAGGCACAAATAATGCTATCATCAAACTTGGTCTGAAAATGACATTTTTAAGTATCTGATCCGGCTAAAAATTAGGAATTGAAGAGAAGGTGGGTTACTCTTTTGAAATATTACAAAACCTATCAATTCATCTTCCCCTCAAGTTTTACTTTGAACCGTCATCATAGGAAACAGCAGAGTGTGACTTTAAGCTCATTTTGTGGTGACGGGTCACAAATACATGAAAAAGGTGGCAAACGTTACTATTACTATGATCAAGGCCTTTGCAGTCCACATGCCAGCATTACTCCTGCACCATGATCCTGACAATACCTGTCAGATGAGGGTTGTTTTTAAAAAAAAAATAAGCAGTTGCCAGCGCCCCTAGATAGGCAGCGGGCACCAGGGAATTTAGGCAAGGGGTTAACTAGGTGATCTGTTGACATCGTTGCCCGGTAGGAAAGGGGATTACTTCCGCTATCTGGCAGAGTTCTGCACTGGTGACGCAAAGCGGTGCCAGGCTGACAACAGTCTGAAGGCCTACAAGGAGGCATTTAACGATGCCAAGGAACTCCAGAGCACACACCCCATCCGACTTGGCCTAGCCTTAAACTTTTCCGTATTCTACTACGAGATCATGAGCAGTCCAGTAAGTATAAGAGAAGTGAAAAACTTTCATCACGGGTAATACTTCTCATTTCAGTTTCGTAGTATTGAGGGTTTTTCTTGTTCAACCTCCCTGCCCACTGTATCAGCATGCTCTGGCCAATAAACAGAAACAGTTCTGCTTCTGATTACACGCCTTTCAAAATAGGGTCGGTAGGTTGGACACTTTTTTTGCCAATTTTAGTTGTGCTGATTGAATGGGATATTCAATTTTATGTGAATTCCAGCCTTGACAATTTCCATTTGCGCCGCGAAAGGTGTAAAGTTTTGCCACAAATGTTGCCCTAATCAATGTAAAAATATCTACAGTTGACAATTCTTAAGAATAATGGACATTTTTTCTGATGCACAATGTTTATATATCAAGTGGTAAGTGTGCATGGTGGACTTCAAGGGGCGGGCGTGCTGTGGCAGGAAATTGTGTGGAAACACTTCAAGTACTTGTATGAGTGATACAAACTCAGATTGAATATATGAACACAGAAAATAGACAAGAAATCAAGTTCCGTGAACAGCCTGGAAAAGTCATGGAAAAGTCATGGAAAAGTCATGGGAAAATTGTTATTATTTTCAAGGCATGGAAATGTCATGGAATCTTGTAAAAATGACTAAAGTGATGGAAAAGTCATGGAATTTTAAAAACACACTGTGTGATTTCTGTTATCAAAAATAAGTGCATAAAATGGGTGATTTTATTCGCAACTTTAAAAGTCCGAAGAATCCAAAAAATTGCGCTATTGGGCCATGGATTTTCATAAGTTGGTCATGGAAAAGTCGTGGAATTTAATTGTCCTTTAGGTGGCGGAATCCTGTGTGAATGAACTTACAGAATTCTTTTTGCTACGTCAACTTTTTTCAACGTGCAGTAGTAGATTACAACGAATGTGATCGATTCAGGGAACAAGATAATAAAGAAAAGCCTTCCCTTGAATATGGTCCATGGGGGGTTGACATTTTGTTTAAATGAGCCACTGACATCACCTTTACACCAAATGTGATGGTTTGTCCCGTGTCGACCATTAAATTCTGCTTCACCAGGAAGAGGCATGCAAGCTGGCCAAAGAGACGTTTGACGATGCACTGAAGGAGCTAGACACAGTGGATGAAGACAATTACAAGGACTCCACACTCATTCTCCAGTTGCTAAGAGATAACCTCACCCTCTGGACGTCAGAGAATGAGACTGAAGGTATGATGCTAGGCCACAGCTCTCCAACCCCAGCCAAATCCCAAGAGCAAGCAAATAGCATTTGCTGATTCCGTAATGCTAAGGAGACAGAGTCAAATCGCCAGACAACAATTGAAACAGTTAATTACTTTAACTTGGAACCCTCCACTGGCGTGTGCAAAAATTACTTGCCCTGAGAGTGTTATATCACTTGGCAAGGTTGGTGTGCATATCTCATACTTACCAGCTTTGTACCACCACCTTGGATCATTTACGTCTTCCCAGCTTATTATAAGAGGCTTGGAAAGGCCATAACTTCCACGTCACTTCCACGTCACTGTGACTAAAATGGTAATTGCTTATTATGGGGGAACTTAGAATAAAGGACTTTCATCCTTCAAATTGGATAGCCCTACCAGTAGCCTGAATGGGGTTTTGTAACCAGTCCTTTTCCTGTTTATTCAGATTAGTCTATTAATCAGTCAGCTGATGAATTAAGATTAAAGGAAGTTTTAACCCTAACAGTCTCAAATCCTCCAATTTCAGTATGAGTTTACATACACCCTTGGGGCTTAGGGTTAAAGATATTGGACAGAGAAAAACAAAACAGGCCAAATAACAGCACTTACAGAATGAGTTCTCCTGGAAAAAAATTGGAAACCCCCCTTTCAAACGCTAGTGCTGCCCAACTGTATTGCAAAATGGCTGTTTCCAACTTGAAACTGATTCTTTCATGGCAAGTAACAAAAGAGCTCCCATCGACTTATACAAGTCAGCATAGCAGTTGAGCAGACTGGTAGAAATGGACACAATGGTAGAACTGTGTCTTTACCTGTAGTCATGAGCACCACCTCCTATTCAATACACAGCCCAGCCTGGCACTCACCTGCCTCACTTAGTTGTTGAAACAAAATCTGCGACATTGGGTAGAGAATCAAGGAAACTGAATGGTCATCCTTGCTTTCGTAATGCAGCATAAAGAAGTGTTGTGTGAAAGTCAGACATCTTCCTAATATTTTTATTATTTTTTTTAAAATTTATTAAAAAACTTTCAGTTTATTTTTAAATAAATTCGTGTGTTTTGTTTCTGCAGCGGAGCCAAAAGTAGAAGATATTGAGGATACGCAGCAAGAGTCCTAAAGTAGATTTCTCATACAGGGGAATAGTAAGACGTGTTTAGTGTGAGTATATGAATTCTGTGGAAGGCTGCACATTGGGCCCATTTCACAAAGCTGTCATGTAAACACTACTGGATAAGTTGAACCTTTGTTCATTGTGAATGAAGAGGTATCCATGTTTTGTGCAATTGCGGAGTTATGGCCCAGTCCAACAAAACCTGTCACAATGATGGCCATTAACATTTAGCACCATTATCCTCTGTGAGCACATCTTCCTTTGTGTGGTGAATGAAAACTGGAAATTCTATCACACCCAGTGTGATTAAAATTGGACATTTGTGAATACTGCACATTTAACTTTTGTGCTGGTGAACAAGATGCGATGGTTTAAAGACATTACTCCACAAACCAATGAATGCTCAGTACTGGAAGTACAGTGGTCCATGCTGATTCCAAGGAAAGCATGAACTGGGGGGGGAGAGTTCGGCTGTCTGTCCTATTTTGCACCTTCTTTTTTTTTTCTTAGACTGAACAGGTTGATTTATGAGGTGTGACTATGATTGTATTTGAACTGGCAGAGAGTTCTGGAAATAGAGGAAAACGTGAGGCTTGTTTTCTTCTGCTCACACAGAGGCAGAAATTATTGGGCTGTTTGGGGGACATCCACCCAGTTTACCCAGACATTCCTAGAGCTTGTTCAAGGAAACCTCGGAAGTGCACTGGAACGAAGACCAAACAGAGAGCAAGTGCCCAACGTTAAAGGAAAAGTCATCAGCACTCTTGAGTGTCCACTTTTACACCTGGGTCACGGTCACTGGCCCTGTATTACCTGAGTGACGTTGCTTAAACAGGACTTCATCGAGAAATGGATAAAGAGTTTGGGGCATTGGGTTGGGAGGGTTAATCACTAATGTGTAGTTTGTGTATGTTCATAACATTAAAAAAAAAAAACTGGCATCCAGTGTTCTCACAAAAATGTCTCTCCGAGAACTGACCGAACATTTTTGTTCAGGGTGTGCATGAATTGAATACAATACCCATTTGCCTGTAACTTTAATGTTACAGTACCTTGACTCTGTACAGTTGCTAGTGTGTGTTGTGGCATGGCTTGTGAAAGAAGAGCTTAACATACAGTCGTGGAGGTTTCATTGAGCCTTCATGTGCTGGTTTTAAACCCCACCCCACCCCTTATCTTCCAAGAACTTGTGTTACATTTTACTTGACATTCGTTGAGACTTGCTGCTATGAGTTATCCATTGTAATCATGACGACTGTTGTGTTTTCGTCGGACGTTCCATGCACACTATTTGAATTGAATTTGTGCACAACTTCTGCCTCCTTTTGAACTGGAAAGAAAACTAGTCCCTCTCTTCCTTTTGTGAGAACACTGAGCCATTGTGTGTGGAATAGGCTTTTTTTGTGTTTCCCTGCCGATTAAATAAATAGTTTTTTTATTTCTGTTTAACGGCAGCTGTAATATGGTGCCTATTGTCAATGTAAGTGTGGTAATACATGATTTATTATTTTGATAAAATGTGGCAAGTATATTATGAAGTGTTTTTTTTTTATTTGGGGTCTTTTTATTTATTTTTCTCCTTTTTTTGTTGGTTATTTGAGTGATGTAATTAGTTGGTAGTGTTTTTATTATTAAAGTTGATTTTTGCCTTTCTGGTTTTTGTCGTTTGGGTTTTTCCCCCCTCCAGGGAGGCTGTTTTGCTTGAAGGGGAAAGCTTGTGAAATGAAACTTGCACATGTGCATTAGGATAGATCGTACTCAATCTTCTTTTTTTTTTAAATATTACCATAGTGTTTGCACATGAAATGGCATTTTCTGGTATGGAAATAAGTTTAAATGCATTTCCTTTTTCCCAATCTTCAACTTGAAGTCTCTACAATTACAGCATTGCATATGGTGTTATTAAAAAGTGCTGCCAAGTTCAACCCTAGTGTGCTCTGGGATAGATTGCTGTCTCTCTGAAAGAGGGCTTCACAATAACCCCCCCACTCAAATTGTTAGCATGTACTTGTATTTTATGTACTGTTTGTCAGTTCACTCTTTTCTCATACCATTGGACGAATCGGTGCCAGCCGGTCAAATATAATGAAAGGGAACACGCAATCACATGTCATCTTAGTTTGACGTACCCCACTTTCAGCTGTGCTGTTCAAGGCTCTGAATGCAGTATATTAACACGGTGAAAAGAGTGTTTCTTGCAGAAATACTGTACATTATACTTGTGAAGAACATGCTTTTCTGTGTCGTGCACGTCAGCAGTCTCTCAATAACGCACTCTTGTTCTTAACGTACAAATCACTTGTTAAGATACATTGTACAATGTACATGACTAAAATCTTATGTGTAGTCGTTTGTATGAAAGCGTGAACCACAGTAGATACTAACGTAACTTAAGAATGGCGTACTTTATGGTGGTTCCAACTCTAGAACTCTGCTTAGCCTAGTATTTCTATCAGTCAGCATTGTTTAATTTTCATCGATTGTACTTTTTTTCTGGAAACGACAACCTGGGAGCTTAAATGTCATTAAACATGCTTGTTACTGAACGTAAATACTCGGGTGTAAAAGTGTACATCTATTTATTGACGTGGTACGATATGCATCCCAAACTTTTTGGAATCTTTGAGAAATGTTTGGTCCATATGTAGTGAATGTATGATTGTTTTATTTTGTTTCATTTCAGATGATTATTTTGGCACTAGGAGATGCTGTTAATTTAGGCTTTGCTTCGAGATCCAAGGGATTTTTTTCTGCCTTCAGCTACATGTCTGTGTATCGCATAGTAGTTAATCCAATAAATCTGGCCAAAACATGTTACCACCCTCATTGAAGTTTTCTGTCGATGTCTGAATGAGCTGTGTTTCAATGAAAAGGAAGGTCCTCTGAAAAAAGCAGCATCAGTCCCGTGCAAGGAGTGGGATGGTGTTTTTTTATTCCAAATTTTGAAAAGTATCCCTCATATAAATGCTTAGATTCCATACATTGTACGTGCACATGTAAACATATATTTGGTTTGATTCACATTGCATGGCTTCTAATGGAATCTGAAATCTTAGAAGAGTAGCCTTATTTCAAGACTGTTCACATTGTCCAACATCATGTTCTCTGTTGGGAAAATTCAGCTGTGTATGTACTTTATGCTTTATCAACTCCAAGCCTTGTCAGCAACTCTGAAATTTAAAGACAAAGGGTTCTCTAAATTGCAATGTGAATGAATCGAAGTACTCGAAGGATGTGAAATGGTTTTTATCATTTGGGTCGTTTTTAATCCAACTCGTAATTTGGCCATGGTTGACTGACTTTGATAGTTAATCCTTAGCTAGGCTGGGGTTACGGTGGAGTTGCAACACTCCAATGCACCTTTAGACAATACTGTACAATAAGCTCTCGTTTATAGCAAGTTCACAGGAACCAGGCAAACGACCAGAACCTTGTTAATTAAGACTAGGAAAAGAACTCGGGGCTTGGGACTTCAGATTTCCCTCTTAGTACATGTATTTTTTTGTTAAAGTGCTCATATGTCGGGAGTTGACGAAATTTTCTTGCTCTCTTCCACCCTTGGTCTGGATCCCCGCTACTGGGACGGATGCGCCATAGAGCTCAAGATTGGTGCGACTTTAGTTTACAAATCTCTTGCAACCTGAAAATGGTAAGACGACTAAGTGTGTATTTGCCTGCAACTGGGGACCCCCTATTGTTCCTCTATTGTTTGTACTTTAACTTTTTTAGAAGACCACCCATATGTTTTGTACACAGTTGTCAATTGGGGACCCTCTGTCAATTGGGGACCTTATTGTCCTCTATTGTTCAGGGTCCCCAATTGCATGCAGAAACAAACTCGTGAAAGTGGGTGTGGCCGGTCAAACCATTACTTGCTCGACAAACTTTCCTGTCAGTGATGGCTTCCTTTGTATGTCATTGATAGTGCTCATCCTCGGGTAGAGAATGCAGTTGAAGTACCTTGAGATGATGAAAATGACGAGACTAAACATGATAAACTATCGGCTGTATACCCAGATATCCGGCAGCATTTGATCGGCTGACAGCCGCGGCATTGTATGATTGCATCATATCGGCGCGCTTGAAGCAATTGCGCGCGCGAATCTCGGCCCAGTATGCTCTGGTACATTTCCGGCCTTACCGGAACATCCGCATTCAAGTTTGTTCCCAGGGCGTGAGTCTCCGGTATTAAACCCCGTATCCCTCAATAACGTGTGAAATTAAAACATGGGGTCGCTCTGCGAACGACGAGGCTGTACACTGACCGGTACCCTTCATGACAGGCCTGTTTGTTTTATTGTACAAGACATTCTTGGGAACCAGTGTAATCCTGACAACTGCACAAATTAACCGCGTTTACTTCAGGAACCGGCGTACATTCCACAGCATTTGGTGGTAGTTTTGAGAAACGATTTTGAACCATTTAGACTTCCTGTGATGGAGGAAAAGAACTGTGAAGATCTTGCCTACATGGCAAGGCTAGCAGAGCAGGCCGAGAGATATGATGGTAAGAAGTAAATACAATTTTTTTTCGATAATCTTTACTGTCATGACTGTAGACTTTTTGCAGTCATGGCAGTGGCAGACATGACAGAGTGGTGTGGAACTTGGTGTCACTGTTGTGTGTTGCTGTTAGTGCACATCATATACAATATACAGATGTACATCATCAGTCATGTAAATGTAACGTTAAATAATAATACATCAGGGACCACCAATTCCACGACGCTGCTTTAGCACAAACAGAAATAGTGAAGGTTAGAACATTTTTTCTGCTGGGCCTAGGCTATCATCATGGCTATAATTACCAGACTTGAAGCAGCACCGTGAAATTGGGCTCAGAACTTGGACAGTCCGACCTTAGTCCGAGTAGGCCTACCCCTAGAACTGTGGGGTCCAACGTCCCCCCCCATAAACCCCACAGAAAAAAGAGCCTTATTCGCCATAGACTAGTGCAGGACATATAACAGGGCATGAACAGCAATTCCATTCGAGTTGTGTACCCATGATAGAAATGTTGCTTCATTTCCCCCCAAAGTTTTATGTAAGATAGCTTACATACCTTTGTTTTGAGTACCAAGTACCTTTTTCCAAAAAGAGGCGCAAATGTTTCCTGATCAGTGTCTGACAGTCATGCGGTTCATGTGTAATTGCGAAGACGAGCCATGACCCAATGGTTGACTACGGCTGCGATCGATACACAAGGCTCGGAAATTGGGTACAACTACTTTCCGTATGTTTGTGTGTAATTTTTAGCTGGTTGAAATGGCTTCGGCGCGCTGGGGGTCACACTGATCAATCACAGGGCTCCTCATTATTTATGCTCGAATGGCAGGAATGACAAGCAACAGCCGTTTGGTGCCAGTGTGTGTGGGCGTGCTGTCGCACAGTGAACACTTTCTGTTGAGGACAGGCAACAATCTTTGTCTGCATCCCCATGCGGCCTTGACAGAATGTATTACACTGGTATGGAAAGCGGCTGCAGCCAATTTCCTTGACCTGTGCATCAATCGCAGCCGTAGTCAACCATTTGGTCGCGGTTCGTCTTTGCACTTGTACAAAAGTGAACCGCATGACAAATATTTGCACCTTTTTTTTTTAAAAGGGCATGGTTTTGGCCCATTTTTTTCTTGATACTCGGTACCAAGTATGTAAGCTATCTTACATAGAACTCTTGGGAGAAATGGAGCAGCATTTCTATGAGCACAAAACCAGGATAAAATCCCTGTTCGTGCCCTGTTAGTGTTAAACGTCATGTAGAGCCTTTTGGCAAAAAAAGGCTCGTTTTCTGTGGGGTTCGTGGGAGCTTGACCAGGAAACAGTCATTGGTAACAGTCCCAAATGTCATGGTCAACACCTCTTATGCCCAAGTACATATGGACCGCTCCTGCATGTTTCATTACAGGACCATGTTCCTCCATAGAGTTATTGCATTAGCAAAATCTAAGCATGTGTATTTGAATGGGAGGAGGTGTCAAAAAGTTTAAGTGTCGTGCTTGTGCCGAGCGAAAACGGTTGGATTTCGACAGATTTCACTCGAAATAGTTCAAGCCCCGAGTGAGAATCCTCTGAATTCACCTCAAAAACTGTCCTTCAAATGTCTAATGCGCCTCTCTATAGATTAAATGAGAATCAGACATTCCAATAATGATAGTATGGTTTACGTACATATGGAAAGAAAAGAGAAATGTAACAGGTGGTTCGCATTTCAAAATAGCAGGAAACAAATTTCGTATTAATTCAATTCAATTTTAATTAACTCTTGATGTCACACAATTCAGGATTTATGTACAAAAGAGATTTTGCTTTATTAGAGGAAATGAACAAGCCAATCAGTATGAGAAATATGAAGTGAATCCAGAGAACACCAATTCAGATGGCCATATATTCAAATAGGAGATTTACAGAAAATGCATGATCCTGTTAAATTAGGATACACTTTGAACTCAAGAAAAAAAAGGGCGCCTGAGTTCTAGATGTAGAGATGAGTTGCGACAAGTCATTCCAAGGTGGGAGAACAGGAGTCTGTCATGTTGTGTTGCTGGTTGGCAAAAGTGAAGAAAGAAAGTTCAGCAGAGGAAATGTAAAGCACAGGAGTACTTGCGCAACCGACTTTCTATGGATCACATGCTTTGGTAGCTGCACATCGTTTATGAAAACCTCAAAATAGAATACCATCTTGCATGTAAGTTAACATTTAAAGGAAAAATACGGTCGACTCCTGTTATTATGAGGTCGGTCATAACAATAACCCGGATGCAATGAGCATATTCTCCCAGTCCCGAACAATTTGTGTCCATTGCTATGGAGAAATATTTGGTTATTTCGTGCAGGAATATTGCGAGACTCCGCCTCCAATGACGATTTGTGCCAACCCCATGCGAGCAAAAGTATTGTTCTCAACCCATTTACAGCGACTTTTTTCCAAACTGTATTATCTGCAGCTGTCAACAACAAACCTTTTGTCCCGATTCGGGCATCATACGTTTTCCCAGTCTGTCAACGCCTTATCAGTGCACCTTTGTAAGAACTTCAACGTTATAAGTCAAAGTGATTGAAAAGTACACTCAAACTACCTCAAATAATGCACTAAATACATCTTTAGCTTAATGTAAAAGCAAAGCTTTCCGAGGAAACATCTCTTTTGGTTTCGAGTCTCAGAACATTACTGGCTAGTGGAAATTACAAGAGACATGTATCAAAACCTTCATCATCTTAAATTTGCTTGAACTTCTCAAAATATCCCCAAAGTCCAGACTTCATATAATCAATCGGTACACTCCTTTTCACAATTTACAACAGGAGTCACAGTGAAAAATGCAATGACTAAACCGCAGAAAAGGTACACAATAGTATAAAATGATATAAATAGGAACTCAAACTTACCTAAGATAAAGAGTCAACACTCATTAACATAAGGGGAGACTTGGATTTTGAAGTCCTCCAGTCCAAAGAAAAGTAGTGCAGAGCGTAGACAGAGTTCTGCAGGCAAGTGGCCAGCACAATGGCAAAGTTTGGAATGCCAGGCTTGTCAAAATTTTGGGGCAAACCGCCACCCAGAACATGCCTTTGCCACATTACCAGCTCAGGCTGTCATTGGACAACTAAAATGTCATACATGACTCCAATACTGATTGGTCATTTAGTATCTAGGCAGATGAGTACTCAGCAGAAGTTTATGGCTTTCACAGCTTGGGGTAAGGTGCAAACAACAACTAGATCCACCAATTGAGGGATCTACCACCTTTTGCCAAATTGCTTGATCAGATCCCCAAATTGCTGGATCAGATCCCCCAATTGGTGGATCAGATCTGGCAATTGTGTGTATTGGGAACACTAACCGTTATAAGGTGGGTCAGGATCAGATCCACCTTTCTTGATCCTCCTCTGGAGCAGGATACAGATCCCCCAATTGGTGGATCAGATCCTGCAATTGGCGTATCACGATCAGATGGGAACGCAAAAGGTGGATCTGTTCCGGCAATTTGACCTGTCAACATCCGTCCTTGCACGAGTGACGCGAAACTTTTGTGGTCTGATGAACAAAGAAATATGTTTTTTGGCGTGTAGCTCATGTGAAATTTTTAACGTGCACAGTATGCACAATAAACACCTGCTGAACCACGGGCTTGCAAAATGTGTCACCACGCATGCGCAATGCATGCATGCCGCGATGTGTGCCTTGCCCTTTCACAATTTTCGTTGCGCATTCGTCCGTTTCTCAACCTTTTTCATTTGTGTAATTTCACTTGCTTTCCATCAAAAACTAATTCCGTGTTAGCATATAGCCCGCAGTGTGGGACAGAGTATTGAAAACGGAAGCAAATTTGAAGAGACAACATACTAAGCTGAACATTCGGTCCACCACAAGATCACACGCATGCCGCCCCAGCACCCAACACTGCCACAGAGCGCGTGTTCAGCAAGCTAGCACACGCGCAACGAACTCAGTGACCTTTTGGGCTCGACATTTCCGTCCGAAAAGGTGGATCAAGCGTGAGTGGGAACTCGACTTGCGGTTTGGTTGCGGTAAGATAAAGATCACACCAAAATGCTGGATCAAGATCCACCTTTCCCAATTCGAGTGGGAACGCGCTGTAAGTTTCCCAACATACTGCTTATCTCCTGAAAAGTTTACTGGGAGTGTACCCACTGGTGTACTAGTCAGAGATTAAAGGCAGTGGATACAAAGAGCATCCTGTGATCTTCTAGGAAAGCAGGAACATTAAAGATAAACTGAAGGAAGAGCAGGCTATTTGACAAAATGAATAGGCAATAGATCAAAGGTTCACCACTGGAACACTGCTTACCAGTAGAAAAGTCAAAAGCTCAGGAAAGAGCAATTTAAGTATGCAAAAAGGAAAACACAGTCATACAAAATAAAATTTGAAATTGTAACCCAAGACCTCTTTTGGTACGGGGTTACATCCTCCCCTTTCTTAACTTGCTAGCTCGGGGAGCAAAAGGAAAAGAGAAAACAAGGAAATAATGATGAATATACACACATATCTAATGACCAGAAACCTTTGTTTTCAATTTGGCAAGCATCCTATGAGTTTGAATTTGCTGGGAAAACACTGGTTCTCCTTTCACCTCAAACTTCATCCGCATGGGTAGTTTTGACTCCTGAGTTGATCGTCTAACAAAACTCGACTGAAGAGTAGGAGTGTCCGTAACAGTCGGCTGAGTAGTTTGACTTGCGGCAGGTTTGCCTGATTGAGAATTCTCAATCAATGGAGGATGCACTCCATCAGGAATGTGCTGAGGAGGTTGTTCATTGTCGTGAACAAAATGAAGAGGTCACAGGCGCTAAAGAAATGACAGGGCTATCTGCTGTGGGCGCCTCTGTTAAATCTGTGTCAGGCAGGGAAAGGTTCAATGACACTGGAGACGACTCTTCGATGTCATCTGGGATTTCCCCACAAGGAGACGAAAGCTGTTCAGAGGATGGGTTTTCCTCAACATCACGAACTTCCTCACAAGAAGATGGAGGGTATTTTGGGATTA